TCTTCTCCTGTGGGTTTTAGAAGGAGCAGTGAACTTGAAAGAGATGGTAAAACTCTATCCCCAAACACATTTCTGCTTTAGAATATACTGAAAAAGTAACAAAACCTCCTCCACATGCTCTTTCACTCATTGGAACCCCTGTGCTTCTTGTATATGTATACTTCTTGACAAAAAGAGAATTACTCCTGATTATTTTTGTTGCTGTTGCTAAACCCTAAATGCTTTAGAGCTGCCTTAACCCTAACTTGTATGTTTCTTATGGGATTTTTTTTCTAAGCACTTATCAGATACCCCTCTAAAAGTCTTGCAAGATAGACTTAAATTGTCATCATAAGCTTTTGTTTAGCTTGCACAGCTATGACTGGTGATGGTAATGAGGCTGTTTGGGGGGGAAGAAAAAAACCAACCACCTTTAAACTGAGCCTATTTGAATAAGTAGATCACTTTGTGTCTTCATGGTTTGCTTCTGTTAGTGAGGCAACCCACAGATGTGCGCTTCCTGGAGCCTGATGCGTATATGCAGTCAATGACTTTGTCTTGCAAATGCTTTTTCTCTGCTTCTTTCAGCCAGTTCTTAAGAGTGTAAAAGAAATCTGTGAAATAAAGAGCAGAATTCAGTTTGACACCTAAACATAAGTGGCTGAGCTCTCACGTGTCAGTGGAGAGTTATTGACACAGTGGAACAAAGGAAGCGATGCATCTGAGCAGCCATGAGATGTGGGCTGCATGCTCTCTATGCTCTATTCACTATGGATTTCTTTCTCCTAAATGGATCCCACCCAGGATCTTTGGGGAAGAAATAACCTTCTCCATCTGCTTTGCATTTTGCAACCAGAGGATATAATGGCCTGTTTACATAGGCTGTTAAGCATGATGTTCTTGCCCGTTCAGCAGTTCCTGTCTGTATGGGACCCCCTTCCAACAGTCTTACCTGTGGCATTTGGGCACATGGGTCCTTTTGTGCTCTGAGCTCATTGTTAGCATGGCCTGCAAATCTGAGCTATGGGTTGCTTTTGCAGATGGTAAGTCAGAAAACATGTGGATCATTATGATGCCAATAAAATCCCTATCCTTGCTTCTATGATTGGGTTTTTAAAGTGCTATTGTGCCCTGAATGCTGCTTTATGAATGGCAGGTTGCCTTGTACCCAGCCCTCCACTTACCATTTAAGACGGAAAGTATACCTGCCAATTCATGCATAACTAAGGGTTCCTAGCAGCGTGCCTGTGTTCATTGCACACATAGTTATTCTGCTGTCCCTTTTGAAGCTCTGGACTTTGGCTTGGGATGGGCTGCATGAACAACCTGGCCATGCAGCCAGGGATCTTGTAAAAAGGGGGGGTCAGGGCAGAATGAAGTTGCTTTGCCTCTGAGAGGTACTTATCTAGTCACCTGTGGCGTCTGGCTCTGATGCAGGCAAGGAGCCTGAATTGCTGCACTCCTAAATCACTGTTCTTGAAAGCTAGTCTTTGAGCAGCACAAACATTACAATTAGTTCTCAGCTGGGCTGTAGCAAAGTGCATATGTGAACTGCTCCATAAAATGCAGTGGTTTCTCCAAGCCCCAGGTTTCTTCTTTCAAGCTAACATCATCTACAGCTATCCCAGTAACCATGTGCAAACTGGTTTTTCCCTGTTTTTCTTAGAAGCCAGATCCTGGATGTGTCTCTGGTATTTCCTCAGACTCTGGGCTGGTGCACTGCCTTCCTTGTTTTACCACTTGTCTCAGGACTGCTTCCTCTCATCTGTTGCTAATCCGCAGCTCCCTATTAATTGTTATCTTGATAGGAGAGATGCATGATGATTCTATTCTTTTTTCTTTAAGTGCTTCTCACTTTCAAAAACATGACTGGTCCTAGATAGGTTGTTTTGGCTATTGGGGCCACTACTGTGTGTGTGTGTGTGTATATATATATATATATATATATATATATATATTTTTTTGTTTTCTTTTGGCACCCACAATGAAAATCAAAAAAAAAACTTCCCGTAGCATAGCTGGAAGAGCACTCGTGTGGTTTGAGGGGGATGTGCATGCAGTCTCCTGCGTGTGGGAGGATTTCAGCCAACATCACAGGAGAGTGGGCCAGTCTCTGTGGGGATGAGGTAGCTCCTACTGACAGTCTTCTGCTCAGCATGAAGAACTGGGCATTCGATACAGCAGGAAGTGCGAGCTGTGTTTACAGTGCTTCGGGAAGGTACACAGAGGGTAATTCTTCTCATCTCAAGATGAGACTGTTGCAGCAAGGAGGCTTTGGGATAGGATTTGAAGTTGGACCTCTGGTGTCTTGGGGTAACAATAGTGTTGAGCTATAACGTAATCACAAATGGATCTTTGCCGGACTGTTTTACCTCATCAAAATAGAAGACAGGTGATAGGCCACTTGTCTAGAGATACCTGGGTCCTCCAGTGTCTGCTTGCTTCTGATTTAAAACAAAACAACAACAAAACAAACAAAAAGAACAAACCCCAAAAACAAACCCTCTGTCCTGCAAACCCCCACAAAAACAACAAACCCAAAAAAACCCCCCACAAATCCGCAAAAAACCCACCCCACCCCCAAAAAGGTGTGTTCCATCAAGGGAAGATTTCAAGAGCCTCTGTTGCTTGAGCCAACCTTGCATCATGATGGCAAGAGGACAACTGCCATTTTGGCCAAATACAATCAGATAGAGGAATGTCTTGGATATAACTCTTCTGTACCCTTGATGAGCTCTCAATCTAGGAAGCTAAGAAACTACTCCTAGCAGTGTTTTGGGAATTTAGACACAATTCTTTTCTAAACTTCCCTGAATTTAAACTGACCCTACGATTAGTTTTACTCGTTTCAGAAGCAGATTTGCCACGTGCCAATTGATTTCCTCAACTCCAAAAGCAATGCAACTTTCAGCAGATGTATTCCTTCAAAGCTATTGTTCTTTTTATCTCTGTTGATATTGTGACCTTGAAGTTCCAGGAAGGCAGGGGGTGCATGGTGATGATAGACCTTGCCGACCGCTAGAGACTCCAGTGAGGGAGAGGATATAAGGGAGAAGGGATCTGGTTTGGGCTTGTATCCAATTATTACAATATATTTTTAGACTATTTTGTACTAAGGAAGTAAACACTTAATGCTGTGTAAAGGTTAGAGATAGACCCACCCATTCTTGGAAGTATGTACAGCTTGTCCTGAGTGACATCAGTGATGGATCTGTCTTGTGCATATACGCAGTTTGGTGATTTATTACAGTATAATTTTGTGCCAAAGCTTATTCAAAACCATCTTAGGTTGTTTCAGGAAACTATTGTTTTATACTGAGCTTTTTCTCTTTACTGAATTTGTCTAGACCCAGTAAATCCATTTCAAGAAATATTTGCAATATGGGGTACAGATCTAGTATCTAAGCTTTTCAGCTGTTTGCCTTGATTGCTTTTCTTTGTTGTATGAGCCTTTGGAAAGATACAAGTATCCTATGTCAAACTGGTTTTGCTTATATTAAATGCATATTTTTAGCTACCACAACAGTATTATGAGCATTATCACTTTAAAAAGTGATCTGTAAAAGCTATTTTTTTCTATTAGTTATATTTCTAAGACTTGTTCAATTAAAAAAAAAAAAAAGGAAGTTAGTTTTGACACTTGTGATTTTTGTCACTCTTTAAATTAGGTATCACCCTGAATATAGAATGCCATCCATGTGTATCATGTGCAAATGCTAAAATGAGATCTTATCAATAAAGTGGATTTTCTGTGAAGCATATATGACAGATGATATTAATTCATATACAATTTTTATATATTTATAAAAATTACTTACACCTCTTTTTAATAATTAGGCAAATGGTTCAATATCAATTATTTTTAACAAACTGGTAAAGTGCAGAGCTATTAGGCCACAGCACTGCTTTAATCTTTGGAATAGAGTCCAAGTCTTACAGGTCACCATTAACCAATATTCTCCAGAAGAAATTGTCAACTCCAGAACTCTTCAGTTTCCATTTTTCAAGTGACAATTTTTCTTAGAGGTTGGTGAATGTGAACTTTTATGTTTGTGCTCTGAGCAGTGCAGTAGCAAAAGAAAAAGGAAAAAAAAAAACAACAAACAAGTACTGTAATCCTCAGTAATAAAGGGATAAGAATATAAAGTAAGAGTAGAGATGATCTTATCCCTGAAGTGGTCACATACAGATCCGATTTTATGGCTGTATTACCCCCTCTGTGTTTGTAACCTGTCATGATAGACTCAGGGTGAGAATAGTTCTCCTGATCAATCTGTGCATGATGCATGTCATTAACTGTAGGATACCATGTCTGGTTCCTGAGGCTGTGTTTTAACGGGAATACAGGAATACTGGAGAGAATTTCCAGGAGGGCCACCAAAACTGTGCAAGGATGAGAAAACAAACCTTACAGCAATGCTTAATGATGTTTTTATGTTTTTAATCAAGGAAAAGATTGAATGGTGATTACTGGACATGTATGTGCGCATAGGTCTTGCCGCAAAATCTTCAGTATTATAGACAATAATAAATACTGTAGTTGAAAATCAAGCTTTTAACATAGGATGTAGGGCATTTTGAAGCAAAGAGTAGTTAAAGCATTTCACAAATGCATCTGTAAAAGACACTTTAATACAGCTTCTGCTTTGTCCCTGCAGTTGTTTTGCCTGAGCAACTGTATTAGTTCCCTTTGGTCTTAAAGCTCTGAAAACCCATTATGGCTAGAGTGTTTGTTAAGCAGTCTCTATAGATAGGATGTTATGGCAGCTTTAGTGAAACGTACCTTCTTTGTCACAGAGGCTAGCCTGAGATGCTAATAGGGATGAAGCTATTCTGGTTAGGTCATTCTTGTCTCATGCCTCCTCCGTGACTTTGACTTCATATGAGGAAATTTCTGTTTTGCTACTATAAGGTACTTCATATTGCGTACTTGTTATAATTACATGCGGAAAAGGAAACTGAAAGTTGGATTTTAAAAAAGTAAAATTCAAATTCCTTTTATCTCTTTTCTCTCTCCTCAGGTGGAAAGACATGACATGAATACCCTGAGTTTACCACTTAACATTCGCCGTGGAGGCTCTGACACCAACCTGAACTTTGATGTACCAGATGGGGTCCTAGAGTTCCACAAAGTCAAGCTCAGTGCAGATAGCTTGAAACAGAAAATCCTCAAGGTTACAGAACAAATCAAAGTTGAACAAACAGCTCGAGATGGAAACGTGGCTGAGTATTTGAAACTGGTAAACAGTGCAGACAAGCAACAGGCTGGGCGCATTAAACAAGTCTTCGAGAAAAAGAACCAGAAATCTGCCCACACCATTGCCCAGCTGCAGAAGAAATTGGAACTGTATCACAAAAAGCTCAAGGATATTGAACAAAATGGATCTTCCAAAAGTACTAAGGATACTTCCAAAGATAACTTGAAAGATATTCAGCATGGAAAGCCTCGTACCTCTGGGCATGGAACAGAGAACAGCAAGTCAGGTGTGCCAGGTGTATCCTTGACACCACCTGTCTTTGTTTTCAGCAAATCTAGAGAGTTTGCAAACCTGATCCGAAACAAATTTGGTAGTGCAGACAACATTGCTCATCTCAAAAATACCTTGGATGAATTTCGGCCAGAAACAAGTTCTCGAGCGTATGGGGGCAGTGCCACCATTGTTGCCAAACCAAAATATGTTAGTGATGATGAATGCTCAAGCGGGACCTCTGGCTCAGCAGATAGTAACGGCAATACTTCCTTTGGTCCTGCTGTGGCAAGTACCCTGGACAGCCAAGGAAAGCTTTCCATGATTTTGGAGGAACTAAGGGAAATCAAGGAGACACAATCCCAATTAGCTGATGATATTGAGAATTTAAAAGCACAATTTAAAAGAGACTATGGCTTTATTTCTCAGATGTTACAAGAGGAAAGATATAGGTATTTTTTTTTAACTGTTCTCTTGGAATGACTTTTGAATGGGTATAGAAGCTATTTGGAAAGTGTCGAAGTGGGTGTGTGCTTGTGTGAGTGATACCTCAGAAGCAAGAGGAAAAAATAATTCCAATCAATATCTGGTACCAAAATGTTCCACTCCTTCCACTAACTGAAAACACATGTAGAACATTAGTATTTCCTATCAAGTGATGTAGTAGTTCTCTGCCTTTTGGCAAAGGCTTGTCAGAAAATTCCCTCATCTGACATCTTACTGGCGTATTGTATTATGTGAATACTGCATATAGAAGATGCCAATTATTTTGTAACTGGTGGAAGAATTCTGATCTGGTGTGACTTGAAAATGCTAGTCAGTCTATGGTGTAGCAGAGTAAGCTGTAGCAGCTGTAAGCTGACTTACAGCTGATAAATATACCTTTAGTCCTGAGTACCTTGTCCAAATACTTCTCAGACACATTGCGATCTTGTGGACGCAATGTCGCTTTGTACCCTGGTGTAACACGTGGCTGTGAAATGTAATCTTAAGTGCTGTAGCACATTCATTTGTTACTTGGCAATTGATTCCTTTATCATCCACTGTGGGAAGTGAGATACATTCTACAGAGGGCTTGCACCTCCTGTACCTATATCCCATTTGTCATATTGGTTGTTAAAGTAAATGTTGATTCTTGAAGTCTTTACTATGCTAATGGACAAAAACTGAATTGCAATATTTAATGTTTCCCTTGTTTACACTTCTTGAAATACAAGGGAAGGGTGGATAGCAGGTGGTAACATGGGGGAGAGCAGAACAGAGCAAATGGCCTACTGTGCTCAGGACTTGGTTTCAGGAGAAGGCAGAGCCGCCTTTTCTGACAGCTCACTGCCGTTAAGATCTCCAGCCTCTTGCCACCATTTCCACAGCTAGACGATTTTGCCTCCATCATTTTTGTGTCGACTGCAGTGTTTGCCTGTTTGTGTGTTAAATCAAGTTATAAACTCACCAAAAAAAATTTCATTTTCTAATGGTTTAGTTGAAATGGTTTACCATGCAGAGACATGCCAGCACAGGCTGTACATGAATGGCAGGACCTTGCAGTTGTGTTTGAGAGGGGATCCAGGGAACATATTTTTCCATTCACTACTGGTGAGCTGTTAACTGGCTCAAGCTTACTTATGAAACCATATCTTCTTGTCTAAATGAAAAGTGAGAAAGGGAAAAATGTGAGTCGCATACCCTTAGCCACTGTTTATAGTTCATATAATTTGGCAATGATGTACAAATATTTGCTTTTTAACACCCACTGCCAGCATGGAACACTCAAAAAAGGCTTTCAGTTTGCTTATGGAGAGTTTCCAAAGTTTTTACCGATTTCCCTGTGTGCCTTGTAATGCCAGTCAGATGAATCCATATACACTGAGAAGTTACCTTTTAAAATATGTAATTGTTTTCATGATTTAGCATTACTTGAATAGAACGCACTAAATTTAGACCTTTTTTCCTGACAAGATACGAAAGATTGGAAGACCAGTTAAATGACCTCACTGATCTTCATCAACATGAGACAGCAAACTTGAAACAAGAGCTAGCCAGCATAGAGGAGAAAGTGGCGTATCAGGCATATGAGCGATCACGAGATGTTCAGGTACTTTTTTTTTTTTTCCCCTTATCTTAAACTTATAACATTTTGTAAAAATCTTGTACTGTAAAAGACTTGCGTCTTTCTGCATCTTTGTATATAAGGAATCTGGGGAAAGATTTAAGCGCATGTTTTGTCTTTTTTAAGATGAAACCCAGCACGTTTAATTAGGTGACAGTCTCCATTTTTTTCAATGGATTCAGAATTTTATCTGCTGGAATTGATGAGGTAGCCTAGGCAGACTTGTGCATGAAAAGCGGCCTGTTTTAATTTCTTGCACCAGAGGAGGAAGGAATTGAGTATCCTTGTCTAGTGTAAAATGACACTTTTGACAATGTCCTAACACAAACCTCTTGCTCAGACTTTTGACACTATGTAGTCATATCACTGGCAAGGTTTATTATAAATTGAGTTTAAGGTTAAAAAGTAAGAGAGCTAACTGATAAATAGACTTGTAGATTTGCCAGTTATAATTTAAGAGTTTTAATCCACGGTCACAACAGCCCCTATAATAATCAATGCTGTAGGGTGTGTTCACCTCAGTGATCAGTTGTAGTCAAGTCTGGCTTCAATCAAAAGCCAGTAGTAATTTCTACAAGTTTGTTCTGACAGCATGTAGTTACATACTTGAATATTTATATACAATATAAGCATTTCTATAACACATAACATTTCTACCCAAAGTCTGAGCAAGTGGTGAAAAATGGTGAAAACATTGTTTTGTCTTACACTGGGTTTAGATTCACTAAGAACTGAGGAACACTCAAAGGCTGTCTTCGTATTGGCTAAGATGGTAAAAAAACAAAACAAAACAAACCAACCCTGTCCTGTACACCCCTGTGCTCACAACTCTAAACACAGAGAGCGCAGGCAGCAGGACGATCACCCTGTTCCCTGATTGGTGTTAGAGTCAGGAACCCCCTGGGAAGAGAGTGGGACAGGGATGGTACTGAATCTACGCATATCGTAGGTTCCTTTGTAGGTTTAAAGAAGAGAGGTCTCTCAGGCAGGACTCCGTTCTGTGAAGACATCTTGAGGATGTAAAAACTGAATGAGACCCGAGTTGTCCAGCAGAAGGGCTGTGAAATGTTCACTTACTCGTTAGCAGAACCCTGGAGGGGTGTCAGAGACTTTTAAAACTAATTGAAGTGCTACATTGATACAGTCTTGTTTCTTTTATCTCTGTACAGTTGGGCCTGTTCAAACCTGTCTCTTTGGGTTTTGGCAAATAAGCTAAAATAGAGTAAAAGCATTTAAGTTGTGGATATTTTAAGTAACAACCTAACTTCAGAGCACTCTGTCCCTAAAGGATGGGCAGATCGGTTTTAAAACACTTGCTCAGCCTCTCAATGCAGAACTGCAGGTATCAGACTTCTGTGGGGCGACTTTCTCTAAAGCAGCACAAGATGATTTGAGAATAATTTACGGTCAGAGTGGAAGAAGGTCCAGGAAAGTTCTTTAGTGCATAGTGGAGAGCATGCGTGAACCCTAAGAGACTTTGTGCCACCCATTAAGAACGGTCTTCTGTATTATTGCTAATACCTAGAACAGTGAAAGGAAGCAGCCTTTTGTAAGGTGCTGTGCCGCCTGCTTTGCGCTGACTTTGGTGCCTGGCTGGTTAACTGGTAAGGCAGCTCAATTTGCGGAGACAATGGAGAACTGGCCCAGCCAAAGAAAGCGAGTAACTGTGCGCAGTGGTTTTGTTTCTTTGTTTTTGCATGGAGGACTGGGTTGAATCAGCTTACTGTGTCATCAGGTGAACGCCCCTGCAAGCAAAACGTTTGGTTTTCAGGAATGCTGGAGCATAATTTTTTCCCTTTTACATTGTGGTAAAAGGTTATGTCAAGTTGATCGATCTCATTAAATTATAGCCTTGCACCCTGTTACGTAGTGGTGCCCACGTCCCAACTCCAGCAAAAAGTGTCATTTTGGCAAGTAAGGGAGGCAGTCGGAAATTTTTCCGTGTTTCACTTTGAGAGAGGGCTTAAGTGTGGGGTTAGCGACTTAGGAACCATTTTACTCAAAGACCATTTTCAGGCCAGCCTCAAGCAGAAGAGCAAGGTCTGCTTTCTTTAGAACAAAATGTGAGGTGGAATGTATCATGTGAGAGAGAGAATCCCATAAAAGCATCACCACAGATTTCTCCACTGCCTCCGCTGCACACTGCCCACTTGGGGTGTGGATTCATGAGCCTTCACACTGACAGAGGGAGAAGGCAATCTCTTACTGAGGCCTCCATCCCAGCACTGTACGATGGGTGGCTTTGAGAGAAAAAGCAAGGTAGACCAGGGAGGTGGCATAAACCAAATGGTACGTGTTGCAAAGTAGATTTACTTAGTATCGCAGCAAGCCTGTACTACCCTAATGTTTTCTATAGTGCATGCAAAGAAACTAACTTTGATGCTGTTTTAATGCAGGGAAAGTTGCCGTGGCAACAGCTTTCCCAGTACTTTATCTCCTCAGTATATGCAGGAAACATTATCTGTCGTGAACATTAGAGTTGTGATACTTTTTCTGAAGCATGAAAAATGTAGAAACTACATTTTGGACAGTGTTGTCAGACTTGATTATGCCTGAGCAGGCAGCGACACACATGTGCAGATAAATACGTGCGTTTATTTTTAAAAGAATTGGTGGTGCATTCAAGTTTTAGGAGTCTATAATAAATTACACTTCTAATCTAGCCGATGGATGGCTCTGCAGTTAAAACTGGAAAAGTGGTGTATGAAAGTGCAGCTGCCCTAATTCTTGTTTTCTGTCTCCAGGAAGCCTTGGAATCATGCCAGACCCGGGTTTCAAAGCTGGAGCTCCATCAGCAAGAACAGCAAGCACAGCAGTCCGAAACGGTTAATGCCAAAGTGCTCCTGGGGAAATGTATAAATGTTATCCTGGCCTTCATGACTGTCATCTTAGTGTGCGTTTCTACTATCGCAAAGTTCATTGCTCCTATGATGAAGAGCCGTTTTCATATCATTTGCACTTTTTTCGCAGTGACGCTGCTGGCAATATTTTGTAAAAACTGGGATCATATCATTTGTGCCATAGAAAGGATGATTATACCAAGATGAAGCTGCTGGTCTGGCTGCTTTCGTTTTTTGTTTGTTTGTTTGTTTTTTCCTTCCCCTCCTTGTTTTTTAAGTGCTGTATGTATACAGATTATTTTTTGTCAGTTTAAGTGTGCAGACTGGATGGAGGAGGCTACAGAGACTCTCGGACTTTAAGGTGTAAATACATAAATGCCTACTTGTTGGCGGTCAGTTGCCTGTTCAATCAGATTGTGTCTAATGGGCTGTGTCTGTGATGAACTGCTCGCTTATGTCAGTCTTCTGCCTTAATCCCACGAGTTTTCCACTGTACGAAGCCACGCCCACAAAAGATGGTATGATGCTCTGGGAGGGATCCAAGCAACTCCAAATGTCAGGTGTGCTTTTTGCTGGACTGGAGTGTAAAGAGTGTGATCAGGAGGGAGTGCACCATAATGCATATCAGCCCTGTTAGACTAATAAGTTAATTTTCTCTCTGAATCCAATTAGAATGATAAGCCAAATTATACAGTCATATGTATTATTAGTTCTTGATTCCAAATTAATGGGTATTTGTATATGGGCTTTCTAGTTTTCAGGACCAGCAAAACTCGATGCTTCTGCTAATAACCCTTTGCACAGAGAGTGTATTGTTTGTAAATTAGACCAGTGATGACTACTGACCGCAGTTAGAGGTGGTTCTGTCCTGGCACCGTTCCTTATCACACTCGGGAAACACATAAATGTGGCACAAGGCTTCCAAGGATGAACTGAATTGAATGACAAGCTCTCCAGGCCACTTGGTAAAGGAGCGGTGGGTGGGTATGTTGTTGTGCAGACCAGAGCACTCACTTGCTTCAAGCCCTGCAACCTGCAAGGGGAAAGGAGTACGCAGAAAGGCAACGTTTGGGTTAGCCTGCGTTGGCACAGAATTGTTGGGGTGCTCTAACTGAATGCGAGGCAGAGAGGTGGTGGGACTCTGGGTACAGTGGATTTCTCTTTCTTGTGTCTGATTAAGGAATGTGGAAGAAGCAGGAGGGAACAGGTCCTCAGGGGAGCAGGGAGTTAAATTTCTGTAAATACACAAACACTGTGCGAACTCTCTTGACAAACATTCCTGAAAATAATGTATTAGCATACAGTACCACTAGTAGGAGACAGGGCTAGTTTTGTTTTCTTACTGGAATTTATTTTGCTTGATTTAAGAACTGAAAAAAAAAAACCAAAACACTTCCCTGAAATCTGCTTGGCTTTCAGCCATGATGTAAAACGATCTTTAATAAAAAACAAACAAACAAACCACCACAACCAGAATTCTTCTCCACTCTCCAGTTATTTGATGTTCAGTGTTGCTTACTTTGAAAATAATTGTCAGAACAGATTTTCTTTTCAGTTGCAGTATTTGTTATGCTGGTTTTACGGGGAGGGGGGAAGGGGATTACTCGATGTGTGTATTTGTTTTTAATCAAGTGCGATAGTTGGTGTAGAAATTCAGAAAACCTTATTCTGAGCAAAGGGAGTGGGGGAGGGGAGGCAGGGGAAGAACTTTGACATTTTACCATGATTGGATTAACAGTGAATACAGTTACTTTTTGTGGCTTCAGGGACCGAAGGAAGGACAGAATTAACTGCATAAATAATGATATGACTCAGCATATAGAAAATTCAATTAAAACACTTTAATGTCATTAAAGAATTCTTTATATGTGCTACTTCTTTGAACAGAGAAATCAGGAAGGATCGTGCTGGCTCGCAGGCACGGGAAATGGATCAGATCGAGCACACCCGCGTTATCTGAACCCAGGCCTCCCTCACCTTCAGAGGAAGGTGGAGTGGAAAGCTGAGAGCGATATGCCTTTGCAAAGCCCAAACTTACCAATTGGTTTATCCCTGGCTGTGTCAGGAAGAATTATTATATAGATACATTCTTCTTTTCCTTAATGTTTTTGTTTGGTTGGTTTTTTTCTCTTTGCCTTTACCCCTGTATTCCTGGTATCCCCTGAAGGAGGAAAGACATATTGTGTTATGTATAAAACTCCTCTATCTAAATCGTTGCATGTGCTTCTGCTGCTGTTCAGTTCAGGGAGACCTTTCTTCTCCTGTCTCTTAACCCGTTTTGGCACTGGTATGCGTGCATTGCAACAGGCCTTCACCCCACCTTCCAAGTACCTGCACTTAGCCTCCTTTTACAGCCAGCTCTTAAACGGAGGAGATTCCTTCCACCAATGCAGCTCATGAACTTATCTTCATAGGAAAGTTCCTTCCACAATGTTAAAAAAAAATAAAAGGAAAAAAGAAGTAGCTCTTTCCTGGCCTTTACATCACAAGAAAGGGTTTCCCTTGGTTTATTTTTATGCCCTTTTGATGGGTCTTGGGATCCTCTTGGTTTTTTCCACTGTTTTCACATAATTTGTTCCTATCTTCATTTCTGAAAAGGCATATAATGTCTTTTTATAGTCTGTACTTTCCATTTCTTTAGCCAATGAGTGTGCTTCTATTCAGACTCCCTTCCTTTCTGAAGTCTTTTCCTAAATTCCACCACCCATTTTACTGATCAGCCCTATGGCGCTTTTATTCTCCTTATTTCCATAGGCCACAAGATTTATACATCCGTTACAAAAAAACAAGAGTCCTGGTACTGATCCTCGGAAAGCTGTGACTCTTCATGGTGGTTTCTTGCCATCTTTATTATAATCTCCATTCTTCTATTTGGTTTCCACAGCCACCTTCTGGTCTGCCCACTTGAGAAAACACTTTGTCTAGCATTTCTTTAAACAGGTTCAGAAGGGTGCATGTGCAGGAAAGAAATACCAGGTGGTAGGAATTTTTGCATAAGGAAAACTCCTTTGCCTGTTGCATGGTTATATGCTTAAAGAGAATCCTCCCGGTTCTAGTGTATATAATTAAAAATGTAATGTCAGGTAGTCCGGAGGTCAGGCAGGAAAAAGGTGAGTCATTTTTTATATAATGATGGAGGTTGGCGTGGTACGACCTGGGGCTGTGAAGGCTTCTGCTCCAAGGGCGTCCTGTTACAATCCTGGAAGATGACCTCAGTGCGAAATGAGGGTAGAACGTAAAATCAATGGGCCTACAAAAGATTGCTCGCTGTCTTGATAAAATCTGACTGGGTCCAAACTGGAAACAGAAGGGCCTTGCGTTTCCATCTTGGCTTTTTGTATCTGGCAGAGGACGGAAAAAGTTGTAAAGGCTGCATAATGTTAGTCATGCAAATTAAAACAACCCTAATTGGTAAATGGGCACAGCACTTCTCTCAGTTATTTTCCCTGCTGGATTTAAATCACTGGAGGATGTGACATGCATCAAGAAATTAAAAAAAACACGTGAAGGGCAACAGCCTGCTTTGGGGTGAAACTGCTCTAGTTTTGCACAGAGGAAGGCTGCAGCGCCAGGAGCTCTGCCAAGTGGAAGGCTACCCAAAGGGGAGGGAGGTCTCCCCCCTCCCCTCCTACCTTCGCCCTCCCATTTCTTGCTTTGTGCTGACGCTGGCGTGTGCTGCAGCCTTCCACGTGCCGTGGTCGCTCACGAGGCTGGAAGAAAAGCCTAGCAAAAGAGGTGGATGGTCCTCCACAGCTAGAGACTTTGGTGGGTGATGGAGAGGTCTCGCGAGTGCGAAGCGGGGACAAAAAGGGAGATGAGCCTTTTTCTTTTTTGCTGCCCCTAGAACTGCACTCTAGGCAGCCTCCCTGCAGAATGATGGGGCAGCTTCAGCGCAGAAAGGTTCTCCTGAGCTTTTGCCTACGGGGAACCGATACAAACAGCACCAGGATGCGGTGGTACAGGCTAGCCGGCTGTGTTTGTACCCGGGATCGAGAGCAGGCTGGTGGCTCTGCCGCTCACTAACCGGTATCGGTATCACTTCCACCGCTTAAGCTGGGATTATGGGCGTGTACGTATCTGGCCTGCAGTCAGAGCTCTGCTTGCTGTGGAAGTGTGCCTAGGCCATCCCAAACAGTTGCAAGACCTCTCTTAATGGGAGCTTGGTTCAGCTTCTCAATCAATTAACTATGTTCTGTCAGGATCCCGTGGGCTTTTATGTTCTCATGCAACGCGTTAGACGTTCCTAGTATACTCCTTACACTTACTCATCGTGAGCCTCTAAAACACTCCCACTCAACAACAAGTTGCCAGACAGTGTCTTTTCTGCTTGGTGCTGCCTGGGAGTCAATTATTTCACTTCACTTTGACAGTAGTTCTCCAACTGAAAAGCCCTTCGGTTAGTTGTTGATATCTCCTGTATAGGTTTTTGGCAGCTTTTTTGTTCAGAGGTTCCTGGAGATTTAGATTCTTGTGAAGGTTAGCACAGTTTTCCTGATTTCTCCCATTTCAGCATTCAGGTCTAAATTAGGTGTTGTATAATGGATCCCTCCGCTAGCTTCAACTACAACTCCATTATTGTTGAACATCCAATTAGTCACTGAGAGCGAACGAGACCCAGTTTAAATTCCTTCTCCTTTCTGCTTTATGTGATACGCGTTCGTGCGACTTCTCATTTTACCGTGATGCCTGCTTGTTCTGAATTCTTAGAGAAGCACTATCAAATCTGACTGCTTTTTAGTGTAATATCAAAATGCTGTGCCTCTGCTGCAGGACCATCACATACAGATCTGAGATCTGCACTACGTGAAGGATATTTAAAAGCCAACGGTTTTCTTTCAACAAATCATGACTGCTTATCTGAGGCAATTTGCTGTAGGAAAGATACGTGATCCACTGACTAGAAGTTGAAGCTAGACAAATCCGGTGTAAGCGTCAGTTCAGTTCTGTAATAATAAGGGTTACAAGCTAATTATTAGCAACTGAATAACATAAACGAGGGTGCCAACATTTGAAGTTAAATGTTGAATGCTACTGTACAATCAGTTCAGGCTTATGTTTGATACAAAGTCAACCGCATAATCACAGGTAGTGCTTTTTGGAGTTAAAATCAATGAACAAGAAATTATTTGGGGAAAAAAAAAAACCAACCCACAGAGGCTTGTGGTTCCTTTAGGTGGTATCGAAACCAATTTTGGAGACCAAGCCCCTTTCCACTGTGGTGTAC